AGCTGCTTATAGCAAGAGTCAGCTAAATCCTTTCCCTCGCCACCAACCCTCTGAAAATACTGAGAGCCCCATACAAATGTCCAGTTCCAGCAAAGCCTGAAGAATTAGAAAGCATCAGAGTGTTGGACTAGATGAATCCGTAGTCCCAAAATACTGCCTGTGGTAGCAAATCCAGCAGGAGGTATTTTATTAAATAACTCAGGGGCCAGGACCCATCAAGTAGCCGAGAGCTTTTGCCTACTCCAACACGTCTTGTGTGTTTACAGGTGATGACACATCTCCATGTGATCGAGGAGCGCATGAATCAGAGCTTGTCCCTGCTCTACAAGGTGCCGTACGTGGCTGAAGAAATCCAGGATGAGATTGGTGAGTGGCCACCGTCTCAAGCTAGGATATCGTATCAAGTGAAGCGAGCTCCAAAATCCCATTTTGCCCAAAATCTCTTGCCACATCAAACCTCTTGGCCCTTATTTATATGTTTTTCTAGCCCGTGGGCTTCAGCAGACAGGATCAGGTAACGTGGCAGCCCTGAGCAGTGTTTCCCTGCAGCGGCTACGCTCCAACTGTCCGTCCCTTTCCGTCCCTGCCGGGCCCTGTGCAAGTGTTTGTCCCGTTCCTTTTAGATGAGCTGCTTCAGGAGCAACGTGCAGACATGGACCAGTTCGCCTCCTCCATTTCCGAATCCCAGGTGGACGTCAGGGTGAGCTCCGAGGAAAGTGAAGAAATCCCCCTCGAGGGCAAACCGTTCCGTCCATTCCAGGTGAAAACCTTCCCAGCCTTGTCTGAAAACGAAGGTACGTGGAGCTGAAAACGGGGCCTCACTCTCTTTATGCACCGTAGTCGCTTTTTCGTAGCCCAGCTCAGTGGCACGGGATGCTCCATCCCTTTGGGTCATTGAGGAGCCAAACGGTTGCCTCAGCAGTACCCACCAGACTGTCCTTTTGAAGGAGGCAATGCGGGTAATTGGCCACGGATTTGACTTCTCAATTCATCCGTTTTCAAAATCGTTTTAGCTCTTTCCATTTTGCAGAGAGCAGGGATTTTTTTGTGTGTTTGTTTTGTTTTTAAGTGTGTGACTTGATTCTGGAATTTGTTTTCAGTCTTCAGCCGTTAAAATGCTCTCATGTAATGGTAAGCCTTTTGTGCCGTGATCTGCTGAAGGCTACAGGAATTCCCTTTTTTTTCCTCTCTCTAATAGATATCTGTTTTTCTGCGTCAACGGGTGTTGACAGCTGGCGTGTGCGTGTGCATTTATATTAAAAATGTTTGAACAGAGTTCTGAGCTTAAAGAAAGCTGTAGCATAAAAAGCTTTTCCCAGGGTCTGACTCAGAAATCATGCGCAAGCCTTTTTTCCTTTCTCTCTTAATCTCCTTTCTCTGCTATTTTTGTTTTTGTTTTCCCTCCTGCTAGATCCTCAGCCGGATTTGTACCATCCAATGAAAAAAGGTTGGTTCTAAGCTGCTCCCTCACAGTGCTCTCTGTCACTCTCCTACCTTCTCAGTGCGTCCTATAGCTTCATTTTAGTTTCATGCTCACCTTTATTTTCATGACCCTTCTTTCATTTAGATCAGCAGCTTCTGATTTTGCTCGTTTAGCAAAAAAGCAAGAGCTAGTCTGAATATTTGATTCCTTGCGTTCCTGGAAACAACTGTTTCCTCTAGAAACAACCTAGAGGCTGCTCTGGTGCCAAGGAATCTGGCTTTTTCCAGCATTAAACTAGGAATGAGAGTGCCTGACTGACAAGGCTGTGACTGACTTGTAAGGGCAGCACAGAGGTAGTGTGTGAAATGAAACCCCTTCTTAACGGACCCAGGTAAAGATGTGGTGAGGGCCAGAGAGCTTGAAACCCTAAAGAGCAGTGTGTGTGTGTGTGTGTTTTTTTTTCCTGGGAAAATACACGACCTAAATGTGCCTGTGAGCAGCAAGCGGCCGGGTCTGTGACAAACACCAATGCCCGGTGCAGACGTTGAGCTCCCAGCCCCGGAGGCTGCGCTCCGTTGGCTCCCGAGAATGGAGTTAAGCAGCCAGAGGCCAAAAGCTGACGCAGGAGTTCTCTGCAAGCTCTTTGTGGCCAGAAAATCCAAATCATTAGCTTGTCCCATAGCTTCCCAGGGCTTTGGCAGCCCTGGGAAGTCAGCCTGGCAGCCCTGGCTGTGCCTGGAAGCTGATGACTGTCTGCAAAGAGCAGGGCAAGGGCATGCAGTAAAGCCCGAGCTGCTCCTGTTGGGAGGAGTAGGAGTGACACATGAGTTTCCTTGGCATTTCCAGGCCGTAAAAGCCCGTCCCGGTCACAACTTGCCCTGGGGCCCGTTAGCCTTTCCTTGCATCTCTCCGGAGAACGCGTGCCGGGTGACCCAGTGTCTTGGCTAGCCTGCAAGCTCAGCAGGTTGCAACATGCAGCCCCTTGCAAAGCATTAAGTGCTGGGGTGCCATTTCCCCCTCCTCACGTTGCCCTTTGGAGATGCAGAGCCGTAGGGTTCAGGCTTCCCTGTCCTGCTTTAGCTGCAGGAAGGCGTAGAGGCTCTGAAGGACGTTGTGCTGCTAATGGGCAGCTCGGTCTCCCACCTCGTCGTGTTGTATCCTGCATCGGCCTCCTCTTTTATTGATCCGCTCCATTTCGAAGAGTTTCAGATCAAAGCGGTTTATGCAGAGCAGCTTTCTCTGAGCTGATATTCTGCTCTGGTCCACGGGCTGCTCCTCCCTCGCCCTGCGGCTCCTTGACTCTGGGCTCGTGCCAGCTCTGGGACAGCAGCTCGTTACAGACACAGCGTGGCCGGTGCCCTTGGCGTTCTCCTTCCCGAGGCACTTGCTGCTGCGCTGCCTTTCTAAAGAGTTCATAGTATCGGTTGCCTTGTCCCTCCTAACAGCAGCGTTGAACGGTAGGACATTTCTGGATTTACACCTCAGTGCGTTGTGGTGAGTCCTACCCGCCTCCCTCATTGCCACCTCATTTCCTTCCATTAACAGAAACCCCCCGTGTCGCTTGTCACCGTAGCCTAGCTTACGAGCCCCCCTTCTGACACAACAGCATGAAGACAGATTAATAAGCAGCAGCCCATGCTGTTAAGCAGCTCCGTAAAGAGTAGGTAGCCCTTCCTAAATGTCACCCACGGCCGCGTGACGCTCTTTGCCTTTGCTCTTTTGGTGCAGGTTCCGGCATGACCGAGTTGGACGGGCTGATCGGCACCGAGGAAAAAGTGATTAACAGCAAGAACAAGGTGGACGAAAATGTGGTGAGCCCCTCCAGCTTCGTTTTGCAAAGCGGAGCCTGCCCTGGACACTAATTAATAGCAGTGCCTCATTTCCAGGGCTCCTTCCTGCTCGCAG